AAAAAAAAAAAAAAAAAAAAAAAAAAAAAAAAAAAAAAAAAAAAAAAAAAAAAAAAGGATACATGGGTCTTATTTTCAGATCTAAACCATAACCGTGGTCTAATTGTCCTATCGATGCAGTGGGGCCACGGGGGCCTGAGTGTCTTTGACATGTCCCCACTGAGATTTTTTTCAACACTTAAGCACACACACACACACACACACACACACCCTTTTTCCAGAGAGGCTGTAATATTACTACATGCCTCAAACAATACTGAAATTCATCAGTAAAACTCATTCTAGTAAAATGATATTACCAAAGAGCAAAGTGGCTAACAAGCATAATAAAATCACCGACTACATCAGTCAAGAGTGAGGGGGAGTGGTGTTGAGATAAAACCCCGTTTATTTATTCTACATATGACTATATCTCATAGGAGGAGTAACACATGGAAATCTCCCCGGAGAATATCCACTGCACAAGATCACACACAGACTCCCAGCATCTTGGAATATGTTCACGGACTTTCAGACCAAGTGACAATTTCCAGAAATGAATTTGCTTTTTTCAGGTACGCTTTTGCATCTCCCCCATGACATAATTGTCAGGTACTTATTTATTTGATAGGGCTGGGGATTGAACCCAGGGCCTGTCCCGTGCTATGCAATTAGCCAGTTTCCTTTTTACATTTTTTTATTCATTAAGTTTATTGGTACATTTGGGGTATACAGCATGATGACACTCATCATTGGGAACTTGCACCTTTACACGATATATCTTGGTTCATATAATCTTCCCCATTCCCCTGCCCTCCCTTCAACCCCTCCACCCCTCCCTATTTCTTTTTTATTTTTTTTTTTTAATATCCCCGAAGCAGCATTTGTTTACCCTTTGGAATGCAAAACATTTATTTTACAAGTCTGACATTTCATGAAATCACTCATCTTGAGTGACGTGGACTGACACACAGGGCGCTGTCAGGATGCACAAGAACAGTAGCCAAAGAGTAACAGGAAAAGCAAAGCCCATAATTCTTAAACAATTGCAACCCCGAACAAAAAGCTACACATACCAAAACTTTAGAAGCATTACACTGAGAAGAAGGTTTGTGCACGTCCTACTTTAGAGAGGCAAAACAAAGTGCTACTGAAACCTCACGTTAAACAGTTTATTATAAAGCTGATGGAAAGGAGCAAGTTGTCTCCCTGTATCAGCTTCCCCTAAGTGTTCCATTAGCTGGAGAAACAGGTGGGAGGGTTGAGCTCACTTCTGCATGCACGAGATGTACAGCTTAACAACACACTATCAGCTTGTCTCAAACATCAACCACAGCCCGTGTTGACTACCTCTCCTCTCCAAACCCCCCAGGTACATTCACCCGGATTTGCCACAGATCAGCAGGCACAGTAACATGTCTCATTCAGAACACACTTTTCTGCACAGTCCCAAAGAGTTCTTTTGGAGTTCTTGCGGACCCAAAGCAACCATCAGTCCAGCAATGTCCATGAAGGTCTATCTGAAACTGCCCCCCAAAGGACAGGAGAGCAGATCTGAGTAGTTGTGCTGCCGAGAGAGAGGGAGAGGGAGAAGGGGGGAGAGAGAAGGAGAGAGAGAGAGAGAGGCAGACAGACAGGTAGGTTTCGATATTTAGTGACTGTGGCAAGGAAGAATCAGCGAGGACGGGAGATGGGAGGGTGGCGGTCGGGTGAAGGAAGGGCCAGGGACCCAAAGGCTCTTCAGTTGCCTTCTCCTGCTTCTTCATCCTGCTGGTCCCTGGTCCAGACGGTGAGGTTGTCTCGCAGCAACTGCAGGATGAGGGTGGAGTCCTTGTAGGAATCCTCCTTCAACGTGTCCAGCTCCGCGATGGCGTCGTCAAAGGCCCGTTTGGCCAAGAGGCAGGCCTGCTCGGGTGCCTTGTGGATCTCGTAGTAGAACACGGAGAAGTTGAGGGCCAGGCACAGCCGGGTCGGGTGCGTCGGCTGCATGTGCTCTCTGCTGATCTCAAAAGCTTCCTTGTAGGCTGCCTCGGAAGCTTCGATCACGCTGTTTCTCTTCTCCCCCGAAGCTACGGCTGCCAAGTAGCGGTAGTAATCACCTTTCATCTTCAGGTAAAACACCTTGCTCTCATACTGGAAATCACTGCAGTTCTTGATGAGGAACTTGTCGAGCAGAGCCAGGACATCATTGCAAACTGTCTCCAGCTCCTTCTCAATCTTCTCCCGGTAAGCTCTCACGTTCTCCAATTTCTTCTCATTTCCATCAGCCATGGTTTTCTGCTCAATGCTGCTGATGACCCTCCAGGAAGATCGCCTGGCCACAACCACATGCTTGTAGGCCACCGAGAGGAGGTAGCGATCTTCATTGGAAAGGGGTTCATTCAGCTCTGTCACCGCCTTCATGGCGGAGGCCATGTCGTCGTAGCGCTCTGCCTGCTCGGCCAGCCGCGCCCGCTGCAGCAGCTGTTCCCGGTCGCCCATGTCGCTCGCGGCTC